AAAACTTGAGACTACCTTTGACATTTTTTGTCGGCAGTTGTCGAAGGGGACTACTGCATCCGTCCCCTATACGGTATACGGAAAAAATCAAAGGTATTCTCGAGTTTTTGCTTGAAAAAGAACCATTCTCCTTCCGAAAACGTGCAAAAAAAAATTTACAATGATAGTATTGCTGTCCCTCTTTCATAGCCTATTTCTTTTTTTTCGCTATTTATTATTTTTCTACTACAATTTTTGTACATTTTATTACTTTTTGGTAAATGAGATTTTTTTGAACTACCACTTTAAGACAGCGTATCTTCCTTGTAGTGGTCCAGACCCTATAATTTCTTCTCACATTCTCATTCTATGACTCTTAACTATGTAGAATTTTACAATAGGGAAAACTGACAGCTGTTTCCGCGCAACTTACTGAGTTATTGAAGTAACTAAGTTAAAAGGTAATGTATACAAAAACAAAAACGCTCTCACATTTTTTCTAAAATCTTGGCAGAATGCTGGTCAAAGGCATGAAATTCAGTAAACGAACAGGTTAAACACTTTTAAACAAAAAGTCTTTGTCACGCGTCATACACACGTGTAATACAAAAGTTATGCATACCTTTCCGGAGTCCGCTGGCTTAACGAAGAGTTACCTCTTTACACTGCAGTGGCACTGCGCCAAAGTTGCGGAAGTCGTTCTCAAAAAAAAGCCATTTTCCCGCCAGTAAACTGACATAAAATTACAAATGAACGCGAGTATATTGTCATAATACCACATTGATATTGATTGTTCTAACAAATTTATACCCTCAAAACGGTAAAACAATTAAATGGATACTTAAAAAGTAGTTGGACTTATGTGTGTTGAAATAATGAGTTGATATACAAGTTTCTTTGTCAGTTGACGACAGGTAACCGAAACTGTGATGACCATTACACGTTAGCAAGTTTTTTTTCTTTCTTGTTTTTCATGAAACGGATAATACATTCGTACAGTCGTTGTGCCAAAAGTTTGTTATTAGTAAAAACACAGTTTGCAAAATTGTTTTTTCTTTTATACATAAACGAAACATTTTATAAAGCAATCAATTATTTACAAGTTTTACAATGTATGGCATCTATCGATTAGACTGCGATATCAATAGAATGTAGGCTGCAGTTTAGAGTTTTCTTGTTCAACAGTCCAGCTGTCTAGTCAAGGTTTTTGGTGTCTTTCATTCCTGCAGTTTATTTGCTAACCAAATTAATCAGCCCTGTGGCTGTAATCTTTGCCTTACTTTGTTTCACTCATTAATTTTTTTGATTTTTTTCTTGCATTTTTTCCTAAAAAACTAAGTTTAAGTGGTTTGTGTAAGTTTTTGGTTGTTAAAAGTATGTTCTGCAGTAGCATTTGCTCTTTCCCCCATTACCCGATGATAGTTATACCGGATCTGAAGGACCTAATAAACGCCTTCTTGAACTTTGGAAGTGATTTGGAGCTCCTTTTTTAGGATGCTGAGGTCCACGGTTGTATTAAGTCGACCTTTGATCGCTACATCCCAGTTGCTTGGTCAGCGATGGGTATCGCAGTTTCCGTCGGCTAGCAGGTTAATTTTTTTTATATTTGGTAAGTCTTAGGTGCACAATATTTTTTCAGAAAAAAATCTGTAGTTGAAGCTCTTGTGGTTGATTTTATTGGTGGCGTTGCTTCTTTCTAGGAAAGTAGAGGTATTACTTTGATGAGATCCTTTTATTTTCCCAAAACATTATTTACTTCCCTTTTTTCAATATTAACGCAGTCTTTACTCTTTATGAAAATGCTAGCTGTTTTTTGATGTTGATCGTTTGAAAGGCTGCTCGGTTTCAAACTGTTCTAAAGATACTTTTTAGTGACAAGCCGTATAACTACGACGTGGTTGTGGTCGGCGGCGGAATAGTCGGTTGTGCCGCCGCTCGCCAGTTGAAAATTTCTAACCCAAACCTGAATATCGCTCTACTCGAGAAGGAGAAGCATTTAGGTATTTCAGTCTGTTTAACAAAAAATTTGATACCTACATTAGAATCGTTCTAGTCAGTCTACGGGTTTTATTCGAGAAGTGCGTTGTTTTTTGAGAATAGATTATTTTTAACTATCCGCCAACAATAACTGCAGCAAAGTTGTTTTGTCTACAATTCTCTAGTCGAGCCGATTCAACATTTCACGTTTACTGGTGCTGTATGGTGTCTTTTTAAAACCATATTTTATGTTATATATATACTCCTCTTTCAAGCATTTACTTGGTTTATTGAAGCTGGAGGCCACACAATAACAAGACCTCTTTAAGTTCTCGAAGTTCTAGAAAAAACCAATTATCACCTTTAGTTGACGGCCTTCAAAAGCCGTTTACTGACTTTTATAATTTGAGTAGCCTCTGGTAGTTTCCTGGAAAGTATAACTATTGTTCTTCACTGTTTTTCTGCATCTTTGTTGCCATTTTGGGATGTACACTTCGGAAACAGAGTAGTGTGGATACAAATTGCTTCTCATACAATTAGGGACTTTGTCGACTAGTTTCTCATTATTTTTTTAGTAAGTGTCTTGCCAGAAAAGACTGGAAATGTTCTTTTGTGCAGCTGTTGCTCTTACTATCGACTGAAATTTTAATCTTCTTTTCTGGGTAGACTACGAAATTTTAGATTTCTCAGTGGTCTTATTACTGTCACTGGTATTTCAATTTAAATTTTGGCAGTTGGGTGGCTTCTCCTATATTGAGATCGTGTAACCTGTCTTTATAGTTTAATGGATTGTCGTTTTCAGTTCATCTAAACAGAGTTTTGGTCTGGTGCTTAGAGTTGACTTTCTTTTTAGAGTGTTTTTATGGATACAGTTGTTCTTTTCGAGCCTCATTAGGTTGTTTTATAAAAATGTAAGGTTGTAAGCCTAATTTTTGACGAATTTCTTATCAAACGTATTTCTACTTTTTCTAAGTTGATCATTGTAAGCCCTATTGCAGCGACCCATCAAAGTGGCAACAACAGCGGAGTGCTACATGCTGGTATATACTATGTCCCTGGAAGTCTGAAGGCGAAACTATGTGTAAGAGGTAATTAGTTATGATAAATTCCAATCGTTTTTGGGGTATAATTGATTCCACTATCTGTGGGTTTTATTTTTTCTGGAAATTTTTTGAGTTGCCATCGGTATCACTATAAGGGAAACGTGGAGCAAGGAGAACTTTGAATAAAAAGGGCTTTGCTCTTTGCTTCTTATATTAGCTTCTTATAACTGAAGTTATTTGAGGTGCCTTACAAGTAAAGATGATAAGCGTTTGATAATTCTTCTTTGAATATTACATAACGATTGAAAAAGAATCAGGTGCAGTTCAAAAGTGAATTTTATTAGTTTTATAATACAGTTTTAAATTTCTAGGGATTGATTTGGCATATAAATATTTTGATGAGCACAACATTCTATATAAAAGGATCGGTAAACTGATAGTAGCTGTTGAACCGGAAGAAGTTCCACGACTAGAAGTTAGTATTGTTTTAAGTTGGTATTGTATGTTAATGTCTTTTTTATTTGATCTTTTTATCTGTTTTCTTTTTTAGAATCTTTTTCAACGAGCACAGAAGAACAACTGTAAGATGATCCAGTTGATTGATGGAAGTGAAATCAAGAAGTACGCTCCTCACTGCAAGGTTGAAATTTTAGACCTATTCATTGAATAACGGAGTAAGTAATTTTTCTTAAATTTTAATGAGATTCGCAAGTGTTGTTAAAGGGTTAAAGACTGTAGATCTTTTATAAAATTATCAGTTTCTATATTTTGTCAGAATTCTAGGCTTCGACTTCTGTCACTTCTAGGGTTTAAAAGCTATCTGGTCTCCTTATACAGGCATCGTAGATTGGGGTCTTGTAACAAGGTCGTTCGCAGGAGACTTCGAAAAAAAAGGTGGTATGGTCTATACAGATTACTCGGTTGACAATCTTTGCTTCCTCGGAGAATCTCCGTTGTCAGGAAAGCCAAATGAATTTCCTGTAGAGATCAGTTCTTTTAAGACCAAGGTCTGATAGTTTACTCCTCATTTTCAATATTTCAAGTTATTGATTTCTTTTCAGAACCCTCTTTTGCCTTTAATAAATGTTTCAGTTCTTCTCTGACAGTATTTATTTCCTTTGAGGGTAAATTTTTATTACCGTAATTCTTCTTACGATAAGCTTTAAAATAAATTCTGTTTTTAGGTGAAAATCTACTGCAAGTATTTGATCACTTGTGCTGGTCTGCAGTCAGACCGCGTTGCTAGATTGTCAGGATGCCAGACTTTGCCGAAAATTGTTCCGTTTCGAGGAGAATATTTACTACTCAAATCACATAAACGTTACCTAGCTGAAACAAATATATATCCGGTTGGTATCTGATATTAATCCTTGAATGGATATTGTCTTTTTTCACTTTGTACTTTCTTGTTTGGTGGAAACGTTTGAATTCGCTGCAGTCGCTAGTTAGTTCTCGTTTGGGGGTTATCTAAAAAGAAATATTTCAACTGAAAACTGAAGTTGACGTTTCAGCTTTTTTTTTTGACTGCAATTTCTGTTTGTTTTGACTGTAGCAGATTAAAACTTGCTACTATGCTGTTATAAAGCACGATAGCAAATTTCATCAACATAGAGGTTTTAAATTTCATTTATTTTTAGGTTCCTGACAGCCGTTTCCCATTTCTTGGCGTACATTTTACACCTCGAATGGATGGAAGTTCGTTTACTAATTTTTGTTTTATTTATTTTCTTTCCAAAACCCACCAGTATTTGCTTCTGCAGTGGTAGTTTCCCTGGAGAGGAAGTTGTTACTGTTTTAGTTTTTTGATAACTATTTATTATGAACCATTTCAGATGTGTGGCTGGGCCCAAATGCTGTATTGGCCTACAAGAGAGAGGGCTACAAATATACAGATATATCTTTCAATGATCTTTATGACTCTCTAACATTCCGGTAAAATATTTTCATATTATTGTCGCTACTAACTTGTATACAATGGATACATTTTAAAACTTTTATGAAATTTGAATGAAAATCCCTCTTTATGATTGGTTTTTTTAAACTGTTCTAAGTAAAAATCTAGCAGACCTTACTGCGCACAGAAAGTTTTTATTTTATCTGGATTTATTGAAGCGGCATGCATAAACTGATGTGGAAGTTTCTTGGCTATGGACTGAAAGAAATGTATCGGGGTATTTTTATTGGCGCACAAGTAAAACAGCTTCAAAGATACGTTCCTGAACTGACCGTAGCTGATGTTACCAGGTTATTATTTGAAACTTTGGGGAAACACAGTATTCTATTATTTCAGATGTTTCTGTTGAATTTCCTCGTTCCAAATCTGCTCTTCTGGAGTAGGTAAAAAACAGATTAAAGAGTCTTTTAAGCATAATAAATGACACACACTAAAGATTATGAGTTTTGGGATTTACCGGATCCTCAACAAAACGTTTCCGATTGAACACTGTTATCAGTGCTGTCGTTTACTGCACGTCGAAGTTACAGAATCTCTGCAGAATTTACTTATTTTTTATTTTTTTAAAACATCAATTAGCAATGTTGGTAATTTTTAACTCTTTATCGCAATCAACTTTTTTTTATGTTACGATTTATAATTAAGGTTCAGAAGGTGTTTTGTTCTTGTTTCTTTGCTTTTGTTATTTTTTGAATAAGAAATTTTTAAACGATACAAAAACACCAGTATTTGGAGATTTATGATGGTTGACATTTTTTTAGAGGGCCTGCTGGTGTCCGAGCGCAAGCAATGGACGGTGAAGGTAATTTGATAGAAGATTTTGTTTTTGACGGAGGTTATGGCAGCTTGGGAAGTCGAGTTTTGCATGTGCGAAATGCACCCAGCCCGGGTGCTACGAGTAGTCTAGCTATTGCCGAAATGATAGGTGAGAAGGCAGCCGAGAAGTTTGATATTAAGCACAGAACTTTATGAGGGTTTTTTTTTCTAACTTGATTATGTCTGCTCCTAATCATATCGAAATATGGTAA